TTTCTTGTTAGTTGTGTGCTAATTTCACGTTGTTCAAGATATGTTAGAAGTTTCTTTCTTAGATATCCCACATTTAAGCATTTGACACAAAATATGTAGTGTTTATTCTCAAGGAACAAAGAGTCACAAAGCTGCACGAATTCAATGTAAACTTAACCTTCGTTCGAAGGACTTAAATGACACAAGTTATTTCCTGTATATTTTCTTGTTCAAATGTCATGTATTTGTCAGTATTCTTTTCTCTTTTATATCTGGAATGATTTGACAACTGTAATCGCAAAGATTATTGGACCTCAGCATCAGTTAATTTAATTGTTGTGTATTTCACATCCTGTTTGGTCCATCTCCATATTTTTTTCAATTTCTTTTCAGTATCGTTTCAATTACTTTTCATATTTTTGTCCGTGACAACATCCTGTGCTTTCTTTTCCCTTTTTTTTTACAATTTTGATGAATTTCTTTCATTTTTTGCTATATTTCTTATTGAAATCTAAAATTGAATCAAGTAAATACTTCATAACATTAATATGCCTTTTGAATACTGAATTAGTTTTTGCCCATGCAGATTCCTTGAATAATGTATTCTACAAACCATTGGATTACTGTTTAGTATGGAGCAAGAGAGAATACACTCTTTACATCATGACCCTAATGATTGGCTTGGCTTTGGCACCATTGGTTCAAATGAGGAAGCAAAACAGTTTTTTGATGAAGCCAGAAAGAGATTTTCAAAGCATGCATCTGGGACAGATATGTTTGAAAAGTTTGTCCGTGACCACGAGCAGCGTTTTTCACAGCGCTTTTCGCACTTTCTAGATATATCACGGGTAAGTAAATGTTATGTCTGTAATCATAAGCAAAGTAATAGCACAGTTCTACACAAGTTTTGGTAGTTCTTGTATTTTACATTTTCTCAGTTTTTGTTTTTTGTTCTGTCTCTTCCATTTTAACTGTAGTTTTTCCTTTTTCCAGGAATTTGACCCTACCCCACCATCAGTCAACAACCCAAGTGTGTCTCAGGATGGCAGCTCTGAGCCATCAACTGACTTTATGACTCCTGGATTTCCGTTTGCTGGAAGTTCATTTCCACGGTTTTCAAGTTTTGGTAAATTTCCACGCTTTAGCAATATCCTTATGGCCTCACCACCATCGGCCCATACCATTTCAACTTCGTGGGCTGATGCAGAAAAAATCGAACTCTCGCGCAGCACCTTTTACCGAACTCACATCAACTCATATAGGTACAAAAAACAGTATTTTAATTGTGGCTCTCAGACTTTAAAAAAATCTTTTCTTAGATATTTTAATTTTGTTTTTGCAGATTTAGTTCTGATCAGGTAAATAGTAACTATGAAGAGTCTTATGAATCAGAATCAGAGAGTGAAGATGAAGAGTCAAATGCATCTGCTCTTGAGCCCCCACCACAGAGGAAAGCCATAGAAGGTAACTTATTGATTTGCATGAATAGCAGGAGACATATCTGTCGCTAACTCACTCTCAAATTCCTCACTTTCTGTTGTACAGATGTTCGTTCGGAGCCATGTTCTCTTAGTATTGCACCAAGCGAAGCAAGTGAAACAAACACTGAAGTAAATTGTCAAAGATCTCCAGACCAAACTCCTGAACAGCGCAAAGATCGTCTATTTCGTTTAGCAAATGAATTGTTGATGACTGAACGCAGTTATGTCGCTGTGCTCAATCTCATTGATCAGGTATATAGACTTTATTGCAGATTGAACAATTAACTTACTGATTTCATACAACTTAATAATGTTCCGCTGTTACAAATAAATTTGAAATTCTAGGTGTTTCATTTCCGTGTTGATCAAGAAAATCGTGCACATCACATGTTTCCTCAAGAAACTGTTCCACAGATGTTTTCAAACATCAAATCTATTTATAAATTTCATAATGATCATCTTTTACCTCAATTGGAAGAAAGAATGGGAAAATGGGATATGGATCCTCGTATAGGTACAGTGCATGTGGATGCATCTTTATTTTAATTTTTCCACTTAGGTTTTATATAACTTTTTAATTGATTTTTTTTTTATATTTTTCTAGGGGATATTATGAAGACCTCTGCTCCTTTTTTGAAGCTGTATTCTGAATATGTAAAAAACTTTGACAGTGCCATGAGCTTAATTAATGCAATGCAAGCAAAAAATGCTCGATTTGCTGCAATTATGCATGAAATTCATGTCAGTATTTTTTTTTTTAAGCGCGTTGACAGTCGCCTTTTCCTGATGTATTATGATTGACAGTTTGCTTTTCATTTTACCACAGCAAATGCCAGAGTGTGGGAATCTTACCCTTACTCATCATATGCTGAGCCCTATTCAGCGTATACCTCGGTATGAACTCTTACTGAAAGATTACTTGAAGAAGCTCTCTGATGATTCTAATGACAGAGGAGATACAGAGAGTAAGTTTTATTTCTTCACTTCTAAGAGCAATGTTTGACTTGTCATGTTAAAGCTCCTACTTCTTTTCCAGAGGCCCTTCATCTAGTCTCCCTTGCAGCAAACCATGCAAACGAAGCCATGAAGAAAATTTCACAATTTCAACAGCTTTTAGAAATTCAGGAAAACATTTCTGGTGCAGTTGACCTTGTGAGTCCAACTCGAGAACTTTTAAAAGAAGGGAAGGTCCACAAAATTTCAGCCAGAAGCACAGATCATCAAGAAAGATACCTGTTTTTGGTTGGTTTATATTTCTTCACCATTACCAATGTTTTGTCCATATTTTTATTTTTCTTATACTCATCTTATATTTTATTTAGTTCAGTGATGTGCTGCTTCTTTGTTCACCTCGACTCATTTCAAACCGTGTCATCTCTGGTCCAACATATCGGCTTCGAGTTAAATTTGATATTGAAAGTCTTCAAGTGCTTGAAGGAGACAACATTGAAACTGAAAATACATTCTATATTCGAGATCAAAGCTGTTGCAAAACTGTTGAACTCTACACTCAGTAAGTTATGCTTTGAAGTATAAGCCGAAAATGTCTTTTCTTGCCTGGTTTTATTATTATGATATTCAAAAAATCTCTTCTAACTTTTACTTTTAGCACAAGCAAAGAAAAAGAGGTTTGGCTGGATGCTCTTTTTAGAGCAATGGATGAGTTATATAGAAGAAAATCCTCTCTTAGAATTAGTCCTGAAAGTGACAGCACGAATGGCTGTGTTCTTGGTCAGAGTGATGACAGTCCAGTCACAGCTCCAGATGTGGATCTGGGTAAAAGAGCTCCAACATTAAAGCGGATGGACTCTGCCAGACTTTGCAAGGATTGTGAAGGAAGTTTTGGCGTTATGAGAAGAAAGCATCATTGTCATGCATGTGGACTGGTATGTGCATATCATATAAATTGAATGAATTTATACTCAGATATTTGTCTAGCTACACTATCTAATCTTTACGCACTGTGCCGAATGTTTCGGTGCACGTGCCGGTGCCGAAGGGTTGGCCTTCGAACAGGAGTGCCTTAAGAGGGAAGGGAATAGGAGGCAAATCTGCCCGCACTGGTGCGTGCTCGGTACAGTATAATTATATGTTCACTAATATCTATTTTATCTTTGTGTGGATTAGGTTGTATGTGGCAAATGTTCAGGACATAAAATGCCTCTACAGTTTGAAGGAAACAAAATGTGCAGAGTCTGTCAGTCCTGTTATAAAATTCTAATTCAGCGGTCTGCACCTAATAGCCCAGAAATATCTGCCAGTAACTCTCCTGCTGCATTTTCTAGAGGAAAGGGGGTTCTGGAGGTACTAACTATACTATCACAGAATTTCTTGATTTAAAATTATTGATTCTCCACACTTAAAGATCAAAAATGAAGTTAAAAATATAATAGATGCAATAAAACTTGGTCTTGTATTTACAGGTTCCAGCAAACGCCCCTTGTGTGTTAAGTGGTTATATGCAACTCAAAACCTCCAAATCATGGGTGTCAAGGTGGTTTGCCCTTCACTCGGACTTTGTGTTATATTCATTCAGGTCACATTCTGACAAAAGAGCAATGACTGCTACTCCAGTTCCCGGATTCACTGTCTTACTGGTTAGTGTTCAAATTCAATAATTTTGTTGTTTACCTATCTATTATTCTGGCATGGTCCAACTGACTTTGTAAAATTATTCCAGGTCTTAGACAACAAAGGTGAACCAGAGTCTGGCAAAGAAAAGACATTTAAAATGTACCACAAAAGAAAGACTTACTACTTTCAGACAAGTGCAAAAGAAGATACTATGAGGCAAGTTCATACACTTGAAAAATATTTTACCTAGATTACTTGAGTTAATTATTAATAAAAAAAGGTATTGTTACAGGTGGGTACATGCACTCGAAATGGCCTCACATGCTGAACTCCCCTCCCCGGATAGTTCTACTCGGTAAATAGGAAGCTTAGCACTAGTCAGTATTGCTGTCATACTCAGTGTAAAACCTGATTGTCAAAGTGAAAACTTTTGTTTGGTGACTGTGAATGTTCACATGTTACTTTTAAAGAAGTACATTCATGTAACTTTGCCAGAATATTCACTTTTTGTTTTTGTATATTTTGAGTTCCAAAGAATGCTTTTCTGTTGTCAAAGGCTATTGCTGTGGCTTATGCTTTCACTCCTTCTTAATTGTGATTTACATGTCATTGTGAATGAAGTGAGATCTTGTCATCAAAACATAGTGGCTTTTGCATTATGCTACTTCAATTTCACTTGAGATTGCTTTAGAGGTATTTGTGAATTAACATATCAAAATTTTGTTATCTGCACGATTTTTCTAATCTTTATTTAATTGAGTGCATTGCAAAAAGACAATATACAGTTGTACTCAAAGTTTTATTATCAAACAGCAGTAAATCAGACTTTGCAATCAGACTTAGTCAAATGTATCATATTAAACTAGCCATTTCTAATGATTTGGTTCCTTTTAGGGATGTTTTGATTTGTTTGCATTTCTTGTTTTATGCATTAGATCTTTGTACTTCAGGTATATGAATTTTCTTTAGCTGGACAGATTTATCTTGGTCTGTGTTGTAGTTTGAATCAATTTAAAATCATGCCCGCTTTTTATGGCTGTGTTTCGCCGTCATTTTGTCAATGCTTAACTTCTTAATAAATCAGAATCACATAGGCATAATCTCACTTGACAGTGATGCTATCACTGTTAGCCTTTTTGATCTTGATAGCTGCTTAACTGTGATGCCAATTGAGAGATTGGAAAAGTCATTTCAGGTTAAAATAGGTTTAAATAACATTTTGAAATTTTTCCTGTTGTAGCTTCCTTTCTTATTTCTCATGTTTAACTTAAAGCTTTGACCTAGAACCAAGTACATTCGAAGGATAATGTGTGGAAGTCAGGTAATGTCCAAACACTTCCCAGTGCGCATTGGTTGGTGTTGATTTTCATTATAAGTTACCGTAAGTAGAGATCTGGCACACTTATCGGATAATGTCTATTTTCTTCATTAACTTCATTGATATCTATCAGTTAACTTGTTTGTGCATTACTGCAAGACCCTCGCTCTCGATGCAACCTTAAACTTAACGAACCAAACGATGGCACATTGTGCAATTTACATACAGAAGCTAAAAGGCATGGGCTTGGTCCCCATCTCTGTAGTTTGCTGGATCCATACCTGTTTACTTGAGTATTTTGAATCTAATATCACAATATCCATTCAAAGGTCTTTTGGATTACTTTCCACCCTATGTGAACATTATCAAACCAAGTAATTACAACATTACCCAATATGCTCAGGGTAGTTTTGACACTACCCGACTTCCAACATTACTCTTCACATTAACAACCAGAGGCTAGTGAAATTGTTATGCAATGTTTGTATACCAGTAAATCAATTTAGTGAAATGTCATAATTTTTGCCATTTATGCATCACATATCATATATATCATTTGTAGACTCATTGTCAAGTATTTTAGAGAAATTTGTTGTGTGCTGAACGGTTAAATGGAGCGTGGATTCATCCCTGAATTTGCTGGTTGGAGAGTGTCATATTACAATAGAGATATGGTGGTGGATATTCAAGAATCATTGTGTATGCCTCAATTCTTCTGTTTCTTCAAATACTTGCCATTACACCAATACAGTGCCATGCTGTACAACTATTGTAGTCTCCTTTGTAGTTTAGGGTATGTCTCTGTTAGATGCTAAAATATCTTCCAAGCGCAGATATGCTCTACAGTAATATGTGTTTGTGTTTAGTATGTGATATGGTAGTTTAGTTTTCAGCTTTGGTTTAAAGAATAGCAATCATTTTATGGGATTGGACTGCTATGAATTTTATTTAGATTGACTTACCTGCCAAGTATTACTGATCAGGATTGTCATTTACACGCCACATGTCAGTTCATTAAGGTAGTTCACGCATGTTTTGTGATTAGTTCTTGTCAAATAACACCACTCAACAAGTCTATGTCTTACACTATTCCAAGAATGTACTCCATGCACCGTTATCATGGTTGCATTACTTTTTTCCCTGTAAAAGAAACCAGTTATGTAGTGTTTGTACAGTCAATTTTCAGTACTGGAACATTTAAGACTGAGTTCAACTGCCATGTTTACATTGCAATGCAGCTATACACAGTTGGTTGTTAAACTTCACATTTTTCTACAGTTTTGTACTACTTTGTTAACAATATAATTGTTACTCTTTTGTGACCTTCCTTTAACATTTAAATAGTACCTCTTTTTATGTAGTAAATTTTTGATTGTTTGGACATTTTTAGTGGTTCTAAAAGAGGAATGAATTTTGGTGAAATGACTTGTTGAGTGAAACAGTTTTGGTGTTAGTAAATAGGTCTCTTTACTGTTTCTCCTTAATTACAATGAATGGTATGACGAAATAGCAGCCCTGCATTGACATTCTGATTTGTCTCGTGTGACATTTTTATGGAAATGTTGTGGATATGCTATTTTACTAAATTTGTTAGAGAATGATAAGCAGGATTTCTACTGTGAAATGCATAATCGCACATTCCATCATGATCTTTGTACCGTAAAAATGTTTCCAAAACTGTTAAATTGATAACATTTTCTAAACTAAGACAAGCAGATTTACCGTTATCTGACTTTAGCTTAAGTGCATGTGTTGTCTTAATGATTAATACCATCTCTGAAAACATTGTTTCCATTCTACACATTTAAATGACTTACCTTGATATAGATGAAAAAATTAAATTTCTGTTATAATTTGTGGTCCTGTCAATTTACAAAGCCCAGTTCAAATTTATTCTGTGTTGATTTTATATGGAATTAGCATTTCTATGTGTACCTCATTTTGATAACTATATTCTGTGGACTGTGTTACTTTATTTACCTATGACAAATATGTACTGTATGTTATCTTAATGTTTTCATCCATGTTAACGTTATGTGTATTACTGTTTTTCCTTCTTTTTTACTGCCTGATACTAATGCAGGTGTTTCATCAATTTTATTTAAATGTAAGATTTGTGTGGTTACCATTGCAAATAACTGCCAAAGAAATCACACATATTGTGGTTATAATTAGTATTCACCTAGTATTTAGTCAAAGTATTCTATGTAAGGCTTGCTGCATTTATAGCAATGCTTGTTTACAGAATTTTTTCTTTAAGAAAAGTTGTTGTGATGCAAGTTAAAGCAAGATTTTTTTAAAAAGTGTGATGTTGCATGTACTTGTAACCAACAAAGTACTTCAACACTTCAAGCTTATATAGTCTTTGTGGGAAGGCCCTTTGAACAGACTGCTAGGGATACGTAGTTGTTTGTTGACAAGCACGACCAGCTATTGATAACTACTACACTATCATCTAACTTTGCAAAATTGTATCTCTGTATTTTAGGGTTGAGATCAAGCTGAGTATTAATCCAAAATCTTTTCAAGAAACTTTAGTGTTTGTGTTAAAAGTGCACCTTTTCATGCAAGCACTTGTCATGTCATGTCACTTGTACTTCTTACACCTATAACCCTAGAAAGAGATAGGAGTTTTCTGAATTAGCAGTCTTCATTAATTGCAATGGTTCAATTTTCTTTTAACATTTGAACATCTTGCTTTGAAGATTGTAGCTTATCATCTGGCATAAGTATATAAAGCATAAAGTTTGTCGTGTCTTATCCCTCCTTGACTAAATTACCGAAATGAGCTGCTCCTGATTAAGGTGTAGTCTATTTCGACCTGTTGTAAGTTTGGTATGTTGATCATACTAAAGAATGAAAATTTTATGTGTTGATATTAAAAGGTTTAGTTTGGATATTATTTGGTTTCCCGAGAACAGAATTTCTAGTGATAAAGGAAGGTGTTCCACAAATTTTTTTTTCGAACGAGGGTGAGAGGAAGATTATAATCTAATTCACAAGTCATTGGCTTCGTTCTCAACATGAGTAGAATTTTCTACAAACATTTGCCTCCTAATTCTGTACTCCTAGAGTAAGTCCCTGATACCCATTGCAAAATGCTGCTTGATATCTTGCTTTCCTGATAATTAAGCCATATTTCAAGACTGCATCAAATTTAATCAACTGATTTGTATGAATTTAGTCTCATATTTAAAGAAAATCGGTGACAAATTCATAACTTTTCCAAATTCTGGGACTGAACCTCTCTTTTACTTCATTACCCAGTAATAAAATGGATGGTGCTTTTTAAACGTGTTTTTCTTTTTACAGAATCTTACCATAATTGTTTAAATATAATTTTTAATAGAGATGACCAATTTTTTTGTGTGTGTGTGTGTATGTTAGTTTGTACTTTTTTTTTTAAAATTGTTGTAAATTTGATTTTGGCATTTTATGAAGTAATGAAAACTTAATAGTCAGATTTTATCCGTACTATGCAACTATAAGCCTCAAAGTTACGTTACTAAATTATTAAAGCGATATAAAAGTCAATTAGCTGAGTGCAGACAGATCAAAAGTTCCTCGGATTTTGTGAAAATCGTTGAGATTACACTTTGTAATACTTAATAGGTAGTTGTTGAGATGATTTGAGGTCACTGCTTAAAGAAAGAGTGTATATGTGCGTTATTGGAAGACGAAATAAAGATTGTAAACTAAAAACTCGTTGTCCATTTCGTCGTTCTACCCGCTCTGCGCCCACATGGTCAGGGGCTGTGGGATGGACTGGTGGGGCGGTACAGTGGACCCCCATTCTGCGGTTGGACGTC